ACTTATTAATACTATATGTAATGCTAATGCTATACTCATTGATCCGTTCATTTAATCGGTAAGAGGATGAAAGATTATTTAAATAAACATGGTAAAATGCTGGATGTTCTAATTTATTTTTTAGGGCAGTCTAAAGTTTAAGTAGTTTGTTTTAGTGCAATATATTTTGTTTTAACTAACAGCTGGTTGAATACAAAAATATTCTATAGAACCATAGATAATACCCCCCGCTGCAGCAAACCTGCAGACTAAGCGAATTTCCATTAGCCTGATAGGATTTACAGTAAAATGTCCCCTTAAAAATATCATATTTATTCCCTATTTAAATAGAATTAGTTTAACAAGTACTTAGGTTTGCTGCAACAGGGAGGGTAAAAAGGTGTTTTTTAATGTTAGTTTAGTAAGAAATGAATGTATTTTCCAAATTCAATCAAAATATGTTCATAAACAAAACAACCAAACTACAACAGTTGACTTATTCTCCATAAGAATAACATGGGGATTTTAAATTTACAGTTTTTTTGGAATTTTCTCCGTAACCATTAGGCGCACAATAACGCTTCAATATACAAAATTATTTGTTTTCTTACGCTCTACAAAATGGTTTGAAAAGAAATTGTAAAATTATGTGTTTTTAGGGTCAAAAATGAGAAAAACCTATTTTTACCCCATAAAACGCCCCATAAACCCCCGTTCCCATAGTCCGATCATGCTGGTTCGCGAACTCGTTCGAATAAATGTAGGTTTACACGTTTGTACCAAATTTCATCAAAATCGGATCATTTTTGCTCGAGTTATCGTGCTAACGGACACATATATATATATATACTCGCCTTTGGCTCGCTGGGGGCTCCGCCCCCAGGCCCCCTTTTAATAGTAGCCGTGATGAGAAATTATCACGGGGGACAGGATGTTGTCCGGAGACATTTTTGCTTTTTGCGTAAAAGACGTAGTGATAACTTGGCAGTTGCGAAGTATTCCATAGGGGGGTTGTTTAGTGCAAACCAAACCAGTCTTGGCATGTTAGAGTCTCGATGTAGGGCCTGTGCTATGATGAATTAAATTTGCTAAGTCACAACCCTAAAACTTTCTTCACATCAATAAGCATCGATATAAAGTCTTGGGAGTTAGAGTGAGGTAAAATAATATTTTAAAATGATCTTAGGCCCCCTTCGGGGGCGGGGGGTTGGTAAAAATCATCGGCATGAAGAATGGACCCCTTGCGCAGTCAAAATCACCAAAAATAGGGAAAATAAGGTAAAATTTCAGGTTTAAACACGAATTTGGGGGGGAAAGATGGGAAAAATTAAACTAAACGCATGGCTCAATCATATCCTGGTTGAAGTTCGTTCGCTACGCTCACTCACCTTTAGTTTGGAGCTCGTTTGCTGCGCTCACTTGCCTTCAGGTTAGCTCGTTCGCTACGCTCACTCACCTTTAGGTTGGAGCTCGTTCGCTGCGCTCACTCACTTTTAGGTTGGAGCTCGTTCGCGACGCTCACTCACCTTAAGGTTGGAGCTTGTTCGCTAAGCTCACTTGCCTTTAGGTTAGCTCGTTCGCTAAGCTCACTCACCTGTTGGTTGCAAATTAGCTATTGTCATAAATTTAAAAAATAATAGGGCTGCACCCTGTTGCTAATGGTAAAATTTTATTAATGGGGATGAAAGAGAGGGGGTTAGAATGGGATTGGTCTAAAATATCCATAATTCACCTACTTACATTTAGATCTCGTTTGCGTGTATAAGCATGTTAATCTTCTATAAGGAATACGTTAAAAAAGAGTTAAAAACTACCTTTTTAATTTAAAACCCGCCATTTTAAATTTTTTAGCACGTTGAAATTATAGAAGGTCACTCAAAGGATTTTCTTTTCAACGTTAAGACCATAAAAAGTACATATATATGGACGAAAAGTCGTTTTATAAATTAAAAACAAAAAAAATCAAGAATTTTCACAATTTTTCGAAGTAGGGCGTTTTTTGAAGGTGAAGGAGTCAGATTTTCGATATGATCCCTTCTTTGAGAAAAGTGTCTTGTAGAAAATTTAATTCTGAACCTACGATTTTCCCTCAATTCGATTCTAGCTCTTACCGTTTTCGAGCTACAGCAGTTGTAAAAAAAAACGTGTTTTTCCCAAAAACTAGGGTTTTAAGGGATTTCTTTTAATGGGTTTCGGTTGGAAAAGACTAAATTTTGGGACTTTCTGGACGGTTTGGTACCCAGACAAACTTTTACAAAAAATTTCAGCTCCGTAGCAACTCTAGAAGTGACAAAAATGCTTTTTCTGTCGCCAAACGCCCATATTTCACCTACTGACGTTTGCTTGTCGAAGCATGTTAATTCTCCATAAGAAATACGTTAAAAAATAATATTTTCGATTGAATATCCGCCATTTTTAATTTTTTTTAGTACGTTAAAATTATAGAAGGTCACTTGAGGCACTTTCCTTTCAATGTTGGGAGCATAAAAAGTACAAATATACGAACGAAAAGTCGTTTTAAAAATTAAAAACGCGTAAAAAAATCGAGCATTTTCAAAATTTTTGGAAGTAGGGCGTTTTTTTAAGGTGAAGTAGTGCGATTTTCGAAAAACGCTTAATGGTGTCTTGTAGAAAATTTCATTCCAAACTCACAATTTTTCCTCAAATCGATTCTAGCTCTTACCGTTTTCGAGCTACAGCCGTTTTAAAAAAACGTGTTTTTCCAAAAACCGGGATTTTAATGGAATTTTTTTTGGGGAGGATGAATTTTGAAAATGGGGTTTTTACGAACTTCACCGGTAACATAAGATCCTATAGTGCAATACTACGCAAATTCCAAGTCTCTAGCATTTTTCTAAACGGTTCAGATGAGCGTACGAAAGTCGGTATTTTTCCCATAAGAATAACATGGGGGGGGGAAATTGTTAATTTAGGGGGGGTTGAAAGGGGAAAATGCTACTTTTCGGAATTTTCCCGGGGGTTTGGGCACTAGACCTACAAAACGCCAAAAATTTCAAGTCTCTAGCTCATCTAGAAGTGCCCAAACATTAGTATACCTGATCAGTGAGTTACACATCGGGCTGTATAGTTAAGACCTACAAAACGCCAAAAATTTCAAGTCTCTAGCTCATCTAGAAGTGCCCAAACATTAGTATACCTGATCAGTGAGTTACACATCGGGCTGTATAGTTAATTAGATTAGATATATAAATATATATATTACTAAGCAAATCAAAATACCACAGTACCCTAAAAACATTTTATTTTATATTACTTACATGTTTCGGACATTAATGCCATGATCACAGTATAGTATATAACCTATTAGTTTCTTTTATTTACAAACATTATTAGATATTTCTTATTAAAGAACAGTCGAACATTCGAAGTCAGGTACAAAGAGCATATACAGGCAATCAGATCAAACAATATGACAACACAAAAATCCTCATACGCCGAACATATACTTCAGACCGACCATACATACTCAGAAATGAATAAAAATATGCACATTCTGGATGTTGAAAATAAAGGTGAAAAAATGAATACAAAAGAAGACTTTTATATTTATACTCATCATATTAATGACAAAGACAATTTACTAAACTTGACACAAATTCAAAATCAAAACGTAATATTCAATGAAATTATACATCTTAAAGAAAACACCTCCTTCCCTTAACATAAAAATTATCACCTGTTCTTTAATAAGAAATATCTAATAATGTTTGTAAATAAAAGAAACTAATAGGTTATATACTATACTGTGATCATGGCATTAATGTCCGAAACATGTAAGTAATATAAAATAAAATGTTTTTAGGGTACTGTGGTATTTTGATTTGCTTAGTAACATTTAAAGTAGCCCTCATTGATGTATACAATAACAAAATAAATATATATATATATATAAATATATTTAAATATATATGAATTTTAACGGATGGTGATTTTGGCCTCTAGGGACCTCAAAACGAAAAAATAAATCGGTCCCGGGTCCAGGTCTTACCATGAGTACTACGGTAATAGCTTATTCCCTATATGGGAAATTCGCTAAAACATACTCCCAGGTTAGTTTATTATTCTGTGATTTTGCCATTGATTATAGGAAATAAATAGGATTCTATAACCACTGATGTATACAAATTGAGGCTCTGCCCCGGAGTCTTCAGAGAAAAGTTTATGCAAATTATTTTTCTGTTCAACCTTTTGAGGAGAGAATAGGAAAATAACAATGTTTACATGTTTTAATTATTCTTGACAGCTTTTTGTTTACAATAAATGTTTAACCGCTTAAACTCTGCTTGAATTAGAAATGGAAATATTGACATAACTTCAGTTTTAGTTGACTACTCAATTCCCGTACGTAGGACGGGCCAACAGCTCGTATAATATAAATTTGAACGAATGGTGTTTTGGCCTCTGGGGACATCAAAATTAAAAATAAATCGGTCCCGGGCCTAGGTCTTATCGTACCACCTTCGGTAATAGCTACTTCCCTATAGGGAAATTCGCTAATAAACATGTTTTGTAATATTGTATTCCTTATTCCTTGATTATGAGCATGGAGTGAAAGCTAAGTTAGTGAATATATCATTCTTATAAAAATGTTAGGTTATCGCCATAATAACACTGACTTGATTGACGTGTGGCTTATTAAACAAATTTAGTTGGAAACGCTTAAATAGGTTTATGTTCGCGTTGGCAGCGTGTTGTGTGTTGTTTGAAAGTTGATTTCGTAATCTATAATAGTCTTTGTGGGTTTTATTTGTGACATTATTGTTCAAAATAATGACATGTCTGGAGGTATATGTAAAACGATGCAAGTTAAACTGGACTAAACTTATCTATACCGGTTATTTTAGGTATACAATCTCTTAATTGAATTAAGATTTCGTCGTAGTCACGATAGTTTTATTGCTGGTCAGTGGCCACACTAGGCACGTACGTCCCGGAAGTGATGTGTTGGTATTCAGTCCTCGGACAGCGCGGCGTGGTGGTCGTGGTGACGGCGACACAGGATGCCCAGACAGTGGGCCACGCGCGTCGTCGTCGCCTTCCAGAGTCTGTGTTGGTGCACGGCCATCCTCCTGCTGCTCACCCGGGGCCTCGCCAACCTGAGGTCCGCCGCGCCCCAGGGTTCCGCCCTCGGCGTCGGCCTCATCGTCCTCGCCGTGCTCATGATCGTCGTCAGCCCCGTCCTCCTGGTCGCCCGAGCCTACGACCGTCGTAACCGCAGATACGCGAGTGTCGTAAGTATATAGAAATCGTAGATGACGTCATAGATTAACGCCCTAGTAGATAAACATAAACACAAGTTTGTGTTGGGTAATATCTTGATCGAGGGGCATTTTCAGCAGAGGCAAACCGATTTGTTCCAGGGGTCGTTAATAGAGGCCACACCAAAGCAATAAAAATATAAAAAAAATAACTACGCATTTTTGCTGTTTTAATGTTATCATTATCTTTATAAAAATTTACTTTGTTTTTCATACTTTGTAAACATTTCTCTCATGTGCAGCAACGCACACTAGTTACACAATAACTAATTTTGCTCTCCTTTTTTTGTTTGACTGTTTTATATTATACCTTAGGCATACTGATAATAGACTAATGAAATTAACTGTTGGAAACATTTTTCAACGAACAACTTTACAATATGTAATATAACCACACCATTTTTTTTTTACACAATTTTAGTTATTTAAACTATTTTCCTTTTAATAAGTGTGTGCAGAATTATGTATGAAATTATGGCTATGGTAGTAGATATATATACCGAAAAATTAAATAACCACTTTTTTGCAAACCGTTCCTCCCTCATCGCAAACTAAAGCACTATATAGTGCAACTACAATAAGCATTTTATACCATCCTATTCGCCAGTCTCCAACCCTGTACGAATTAAGGACACGATTTTTTGGGTTCATTCAGCTGTTCATCAGAGGTGTATAGTCAATGGTAAAACCCACAAATATTAGTTAACACAAATGTATTAGGTAAAAAAGCTTTTGTTTTTTAACCTCTTTTTTGTCCCCTTCCCTTACAATGCCCAACATCTTGGTTAACAACTGACACTTTTAATTGACAGTAATAATCAACAATGAACTTTGGGGGGGGGGATCAAGTCACAAAAAGGACCTAATAAAACAGTGAAAAATAATAATCTAGCTCATAATGACTCCTTCCTTGACTGTCCTAAAACCCTACTCACAAAAGAGACCTAGTGTTTTAAGGACGTAGAGCTCACTTGATGACCAGTGCTAGAATAGTTTGTATGCATGTGAGAATGCTGTGTAGTTGCCAGATCTGATCATCAGTCATCACCGCTGATGCTGTTGAGTTTACTGAGGTCACACCTGCCTGTGTTATGCTATACTAAACATAATCTTCTAAACCAACAATAATAGCATGTGCAGCCATTGAGAGATTCTCTAATGAAAACTGCATACTGTTGGTTATAGATCTGTATTTGTTGATAAGTTACCACCTAGTCAGCTGCAACTCAATTTTATAAGTTTCCTCTTCCCCAACTTGAAATTGACCAACCCTAGGGGCCGGTACACACACACACACCGACTTTTGTCGTGCCCCCTGTACGATTCAAGAAATCTTATAGCTGCACGACAAGCAAAGAAACAAAGTAGGCAATGGAAGTCGTGGAGGTGTCAAAGTCGTGGAGGTGTCAAAGTCGTGGACGACAAATTTCAAGTCGCGCCCTACACCGACTGGGGGTCCGACAGGCAAGTCGTGTCGTATGGGCTCACGACTGTTTTGAGTCGTAGCGGGACATGGCGTTATACGGCTGTCGCGTCGGTGTATACAAACTAGTGGGTCTCAGGACACGACTGCGGGGCGCCACGCTGGGAAATAACGTGTTTTGTCCCTAAAAGTATCCAACAGGATGTCAAATGACATTGGCGACATTCTGAAATATCCAAAAAACTTTTTTCCATCACTTTTCAATTCGTCAAACGATACACTAAAAAGTCCTTTTGTCCTTTTCTCAAGTAAAAAGGATCTGTTTGGATACTTCTTCTTCTATGTCGACGTTTTCTCCTTAACAAGAGAAGGAGAAGGAGAACCTCTTCCTCCGGCGACATCCTCACAAATGAATAGTCCTAAAGCCAGTAGAGTTCGCTGTTGTGTTTGCTGAGTCGTATACCGATACGACAACTGTTGTCAGGTAACACGACTTTGTCATATGCCAGCACGACACGAACAGTCGTACTCACATGCCTCAAAGTCGGTGTGTGTGTACCGGCCCTAACAGACTTTATTGTCTCCCCAACACTGACTCGACCAACCATCTTCTCGACTGTCCTCTCACACCTCCCCAACTTTCTACAGTGTTTGTGTTAACTAAATTGTTTGTGTTAACCTTTGTTCTTGTTGTCTTAAATGCAGTTTTCAATTAATTTAAACAGTGTGTATAAACATGATGATCAATAAGTACGATACATCAAATATGTTTTAATTATTCTAGGTCATAATAGTTGGGACGATGATCAACCAGAATTGCAATTTAATCTGCCATAAATATACCATAATGATGCTCAATTGTAAGGACAAATAAAAAATTGAATTTACTAACTTATGTTATACAAAGATGTTAAATGTTTGAGACTACTGATTTTAACCCAACTGTTTGATGTTGTATGTACTATGTACAGGACCAGATGCCTGACCTGGGCTGTCCCCCAGCCTACGAGGACATTGTGAGCCGAGCCCCCAGTTACACATCACTGTTTGATGTTGTATGTACTACATACAGGACCAGATGCCTGACCTGGGCCGTCCCCCAGCCTACGAGGACATTGTGAGCCGAGCCCCCAGTTACACTTCACTGTTTGATGTTGTATGTACTATGTACAGGACCAGATGCCTGACCTGGGCCGTCCCCCAGCCTACGAGGACATTGTGAGCCGAGCCCCCAGTTACACTTCACTGTTTGATGTTGTATGTACTATGTACAGGACCAGATGCCTGACCTGGGCCGTCCCCCAGCCTACGAGGACATTGTGAGCCGAGCCCCCAGTTACACTTCACTGTTTGATGTTGTATGTACTATGTACAGGACCAGATGCCTGACCTGGGCCGTCCCCCAGCCTACGAGGACATTGTGAGCCGAGCCCCCAGTTACACTTCACTGTTTGATGTTGTATGTACTATGTACAGGACCAGATGCCTGACCTGGGCCGTCCCCCAGCCTACGAGGACATTGTGAGTCGAGCCCCCAGTTACACTTCACTGTTTGATGTTGTATGTACTATGTACAGGACCAGATGCCTGACCTGGGCCGTCCCCCAGCCTACGAGGACATTGTGAGCCGAGCCCCCAGTTACACTTCACTGTTTGACTGTGAGATTCCTCCGCTGCAGCTGCAATGTTCATCTCCTGAGGTCAAGACACATCCTCAGATGACACCAGAGTGACAAGCCCTTGTGTCAAGGTCTCCACCACACTACATCTCCTAATCCATAGACATTTGTACTTCTGTAATCTTAATTTTTATAATTTAAAAACACACACAATTGTTTTTCTTTTTTGACCTTATAAGGAGAAAAATTATGGTTGGGTTAAAGACCAAATGCATATAATAGTGAAGTCCTTGTAATCTTGCTGCAAACCAAACGTTTACTTAAATATTCAAGAATTAACTGTGAGATTGGTCTCCATAGAGCTTATGTTGCTCCCAAACAAAATACTAATCTGAGACTGACATTGTGCTCCTTACTTCATTCAACACTATTCAAGCTGGTTCCCTATGGTACGATTATAGTCTGGTCATATTAAAAAACTTTGTGAAAGAAAATAAACTATAACACCCCACCCAGTATTGAATGATGTTTTGAGGTTAGGTTTTTGTAGGGAGGTGGATACTGATGTCATTTTACAGATTTGCATGCAGAAAAGTGTTTTCATATATGTAGAAAATGTGGATTAATGGCTTGGGGGTGCGTTAAAACCCGTATATATTTGCAAAACGGAGCCAGAAGCAGATGTTCATCAGTTTCCATCGTGAGAGTGATTGATATTAAGGAAACTTTGCTTGCAAATCAGCATATTTCAGACTTCCAGGGCTGATCATAGTCCTCGATAGTCTTCTAGACACATACCATTTGAGTTCAAAATTTTCTCTCGTTATAAGTCACACAGCAATGTGCATGCAGAATTTCCTAACTTTGTACAAATGAGACAGGTGAACAACAGCAGTCCGCCTACACCAAGGAAAACATTGAGCAAATGGTAAATCCCCTTTGAATCCCCTCCTCCTCTTGTTCAAATTTTCTAGGTCCAAATTCTTTACTCCATTTGTGTCTATCAACGGGAGAAAGAATCAATAGCGGTTGACCACTGATAGCACAAAAATCTACTCACAGAATGCAATTTATACTTGGCAGGAGCATCAATTTTCTTTTAATATGACCAGACTAATCAGCCTGTAAGACTATGGATCAGCTAGAATAGTAGTGAATGAATTAAAGAACAAAATATTTGGTCTCAGGTTTGTATAGCTTGCTTGCTTGTGACGGGATTTGATGCAGATCTTATTTACAGACATCCCTCGCATCTACATTTAGAGGTTAAATTTCGTTGTAAATTCAGGAAGAAAGAAAATTTAATATTGAATATGTTATTTAAAAGTAGATATTAACAGATTACAATGAAAAATCAAGCTGTAAAAGTTTACCTAAATATTGTGCAAATTTTCTTTATGGATTGAAAAGAATTAAAGGAGATTAAAATGATTATATAATTAATTAAAAAGCTTTATTAAAAGTTAACAAGGGTAAGTTTTTATTTAACTAACATTTTTATTTGCGCAATAATGACATTACTACTCAAACAATTAAGCTACAACTCTCGCAAAGAACTTAACACTTTCCTAAAACTAGTGTAACTACTTTGTAAGTTTAATAATACCTCAAAATGTATAGTACAAACTTTATCTTGGATATACACAGCAAACATTCCATTAGAGAGAAAAGTGTTAAAATAACCGTGTGGTTTTACACAATATATGATTATTTAAATTAGTAAATTACTGCTGGTAACTAAGTAAAACTATTGATATCGATTCAAAACTTTACATTGTTCTGTTCTATATGGAGGTTATAAGTAATCTTTTCTAACAAAAATTAGCACCACAAGAAAATTATCATGTTGATTTATAACTAACATTTTCAAATAATATACATATATACAAGTTTAAAAAATCTTAAAATGATTTTTTTTTATTGTTTAAAAAATGGAAGTATTTACAGGATTTACTTCTTTAGATTGATTACTGAGTTATAATGTACATTGACTTTTCCATTAATGGCTTCGCTAGAAACAGCATTTCATAAACAAACATCTTAGTGGCATCTTGATGGCAGGCATGCCAACCTACCACATTTTTCTGGGAGGTAAAGCAAGATAGTGACCATTTAAAAAACAAATCCTAACCATGTGTACATTGTAATCTTCATTTCAATCAAACCATAATAAACTTACATTTTAACCTTAACTATGTTTAAATGAGAATTCCCTTGAGGTTAACAGACATAAACTTAAATTGTATAAGTAAACAAAACTTTCTTTTGAAATTAAGTCTACTAGTCTAGTTTGAAATTAAGCATGCATTTTAGAAAAACATGCCTTAAATCCGTCAAGTGTAAAACTCTTAAAACTAAAATGACCAATCTAACTGTTGTTACTTCTGCCAATTTTTAAATGAATCACCGAGAACATAAATACAGGGTGAAGTAAGGTAATTTTGTTATAGTTCAGAGCTGTTGGTTGAAGAGAAGGGAGATAAAAGTGGCTGTGGTTTAATTGATAGGTTACAACACAGGTTTGTAATCAGCTGATTTTTGGTTGTTCAGTTGCCAAAATGAAGTGGACAAAAGTGAGGAGTGCACAATTTGTCATGACATGAATTATTAGTCACACACTCAGTTATTGCTATGCAGCTTGGTTTTAGTTTTCAATTAATTTCGGGCCCATATAAATGCATTGGCCAGTAAATAATTGTTAGAAAAAACTTTATTATGTACCTAATGTAAAGAACATTTGCTTTTTCACAGATTTCAATACTGCTGTTGGTACAATCCCGTTATTCAGGATGCATTACCATGTAAATATAATTATTGGTTGCTATCCCAGGTCATGTCAGAACCATAAATCGCAAACCAAAAACCAACTGGACAAAAGATCAAGTGGGGGATAGAAAACGTACATTTCATTGAAGAATTAGCACTCCTCATATTTTCACTGTATTATGGCAACTGAACCTGGGATGTTTCTATACGTATAGAAACCACGAGGTTTTATTTGTGAACCACAAACACTCTATCTTTTCTTTAACCAAATGCTCTGCTGCAGTGTGGATAAAAAACAATTTACCACACTTCATAAAGTACAACTAGAGTGGACAATATATTGTACTCATTTATTGGAGCAATTGTTGACACTTGAAACACTGAACTGTTAGCTATGCATGACTCAGGAGTTCAGCCAGCTTAAAAGAGTGTTGCAAATTTAAAATATGTTCACTACTTACAACTTTAAACCTGGCTAATTCCAGTTATATTTTATATAAATGTTATGTATTTCATCTGGCTCTAGTAAATTACCGACTTTACAGAGTGCTTAGTTACAATATCAAGGTTAAGGAAAGGGTTTTTTTCATAACTAAGCGTATTTTTACCCAAATATGAAAGAAAATTAAGTGTTAGATGCCTTGTGTAGCATTTATTTGTCCACTAAATTATGTCTATCTTAATGATAATTTACAATCACTTTTTGCTTTTTTTAGCCAATTAAATATTTAGGATTAAGAGCCACTGTAGTAGCAATTAAAATAATATAGTACACTCCCTAGAGAGAAAAATTACTAATACAGTTATAAAAATTGGCTTAACATTATTGAGGTAATATTGTTGTTATGAAACAATATGATAGGTAAATAATTGACAGCTATATTTTAATAGGATAAATTTTATAAATTTAATAGGATAGTCACATTTCAGTTAATACTTCTACTAGTGAGAGCAATCTTAACATAATTAATAGGAGATAACCATTAATTAAGACAAATACCTTTTAGCACTAAACTTCCAAAAAAGTTTTGCTTGGTCTAATAAAACTAACAAACATAATATACTTTGTTTTACTCTAGGCTACTATATTAAATGCTCAAACACATGTTCACATAAAAATCCATAACAACTAGTAGATAACCTATAGCAATTTGAGTTTGGATATGATTACAAAGTGCACCATTTTTCTTGTACTTTTGGTAATATAAGGATCCTTAAAACCCCTTAAGATTAATGACAGAGTGAAAAGACCCTTTGCTGACTTAACTATTACTTTACCAAGAAATGCAAGGTTTTAATCAGCTAATGCAAACAATATCACTGATGCTTTGCCTCTGAAGCCAAATAGGAAAAACAGCCAGTTGATAAGTAGAGGTGTTCAGTACTGCTATGTTACACCCATACAATGTTCTTTGTACCATCCAGGACAAAACTAGTTGATAAGTAGCACAAAAGGCGTACAAAAATAAAATTCTGACTCTACATTTTATATAATTAACTATGCATTATTGTTTTTTACCAACACTATCTGAGAAATGTATTTCAATTTCACTGGACTGTTTATGTTATACTAAGCTTCAGTTACTGTGTCGTCACAGATTATTTTTGTAATGCTCAGTGAAGTTGTTAAAATGATCAACGCCTACTCATATTATTAACAACTTTCCCACTCATGACATGGTGAAAATACCTGTTTGCATTACAGAATATCTGGGAAATAATTTTGAGTGGCTACCTACACTAGTGTAAGGAGCATGCATATTTCAATATCATCACAATCCATTTACAAGAATTTGAGGAATTTGATTTTCCTGTCAAAGTAGCGGTTGCTATACCTCTAACTATTGATACAGTGTCCAATAGTCAATGTTGCTACCCAGCCTGGTTTTTCTTATGTAATTAGATAACGATACAAAATGAGTTGATATAACTCCTCTCTTATAAACCTGAAGCAGTCAACAGAGAACAAGTGAGTGTTAAATGTATTTAGTTAAAATATACATAATATCAATAATAATACTGGTAAAACAGAAAACAGTCTTTGAGTGAGCCTATAATTGAACAGTTAGCCAGATATAGCTACATTATTTGATCAATCTGAAAATGTGTTACTTAATACTGTTTAATAGAAGCTATAGATGATATAGTCTTCCTTCAGTACTTCTTAATTCAGTTTTGTGCCTTGAATACTTCCTTCACAATGACAAATTTCACAATTTCAATTTGGTCTAATCGTAATGGTTCGCAAACTTTTTCAAACAAATGTAGGTTTACTCATTTATACAAAATTTCATCAAAATGGGATCATTTTTGCTCTTAAGTTATCATCATGCTAATGGACACTCACATATATAAATATATGAATTTGAACGGATGGTGTTTTTGGCCTCTGGGGACCTCCTAGGCTTTTCAATGAGCCTAACCCCACCACCCTCAGACGACCCATGAACAGTACGCTGCAGAAAAGAGATCGGTTATTTTGTAGCACTCTGTATGTTTCCGTAAAAGTCCGGTGATTTTAGAAGAATATGACTACATCCAAGAAAAATTTACTAAAATTTTCATTGAAGGAATTAATTATTATTCACCGTTGGGAAAAAACCACCTGAACAACATTGGGCCTTTTAACTCTACACTTTCTCAGGTAAATATAATTGACTCTATTACAGCAAACTAACCAAAAGAATGCCATTTGAAGCGAATAAAATTGTGGCAGATATGCTATGCAGGAAAGTGTTAGGTTTTAAGGTCCTAAGGCTTTTAAAAGTAATGTGAACAAATGTTATGCCTATAAAAAAAATTACTGAAATTTGTAAACATTCTGGCGACAATAGTGGTACCATGGGCTACATTATCAATAACAAAAGATAAACATGGACAACTTATGCGGCTGTTGGTAAGTTGAGAAACATTTGTAGATAACACTAAAAAAACAAGATCAGCTTTTGAAAAATTATAAAATATTTACAAGAAATGTTGATTATAATGAACTAAAACTTTTACTGTTATTGTGAACATTGTGAATATTTCATTTCCATTAGTTACATAATCTTTGAGTTGACTCTTATAAAAATCATCGGAAATTATTACTGTTATTGGTTTTTAAATAACTCCTTTAATACTTTGCATTTGCTCAGATTCAAGCAACAGGTACACTAGTGTGTTATAAATTGAATTGACGTTTGAAGTATTATCAAACAATTAGCAGTTATTAAATTTTCTGTGTTGCAAAAATAATATAAAAATGGAATTGGATCCCCCTTTGCTATTAGAAATCTCAAATCTGTATGAATTTCTAACTAGATGGAGGATATCATGATATCATGACCTTTAAGAGACGTTACCTCTTGATGATTAAGATGACAAACAATTATTAGGAAAATAACTCGAAATACTTCTAAAGCACAATGACAAGTTTAAACTGAAATTCCCAAATTGTCTTGAGTTCTATCATATTATATCAGTATACACCATCTTAGCTCCTATTAACTAAACTACTTCACATATTGCAATTTACTTAAGTAAAAAGTTTTCAGTGCACCTTTACTTTGTCATGAGCTTATTGTCAAAAACTACGACTTGATCTACATGGTGAGTGTTGCAAGAAAAAGCACAAATACAAGTTTAATTTACATAACACTTTTTACCAGTATAATCTAGTATAAAAAGACCATAAGTGACGTTCTCAAATATTAGAACAGATCTTAACAGATAAGAAACTGTTTTCTTAACTTTAAGATGATCACAGCTTTGTTCATGGCTATAACTTTTAGTAGCAAATGTACATTAGTTATAAAACTTCAACTCTACTAATTGTGCTATCAATAGTAACCTACTATGAGCCTAGGTACAGGAGGGTATCAGACACAACTACGGTAGACCACCTCTTATCTGGTCACTTTTTAACCGGACTAGACTCGGCAGAAAGTGACATCTCTCTAACTGGACAATGTTTATCAGCACATCAGTTTAACCGGATTGGATTGGCAAGGATTGGGTAACACTGAAACAACTCTTCTCATGGAAAATATTTGAGACCAGCAATTACTTATATAAATACTATGCTCTCCCAAATTTAAGTAAAATTATTATTTAAGTAAAATAAGAAAAGGTTTAGTTTTCGAATTATTCAAATTTTAGGGGACATCGGATTAAGCGGAAAACCCGCTGTCAGAAATAGTCTCCATCTCGAGGAGTCCGGATAAGAGGTAGTCTACGATACTAGTGTACTAATGGTTACATCTTATAAAACACATCATTAGAGTACCATGACGGGGTGGTTAGGGGGTCGAGTAAAAGGCACCACAGTACCAACCCAACAACACACAGCGCCATGATGACACTTCGCTGGGGCTCCTGGTATGTGTATAACTCTGACAGATCTGGGAAGCCCATGTGATTGCAGAATGCGTGAGCCATGAATGGAGCGATAAAGTGGCCCGTCCGAACAAACAGGTAAGCCGAGTAGGCACCAAACATTGTTGTGTAGGAAAACTGAAAGCCTGTGGATCAAACAGATCAAGTATGCTGGCTTTAGAAGTTTTCCATTTGATCCACCAATTCAACAAAGAAATCAGAATGAATTAAAGATGCCACATTATTCTCCTAAGTATTCTTGCCCGCTTGCAAAGCACGGGTATATTAAATAGTTCACAGTAAATTTATTAAAAAACCCCATCTTTGTTACTAGGTAGGGTGTGGTAATTGAATGGCTTTCTCTCTAATACTTTGTCCAAGTTTATAGCTAAGAAGTGATCATAATCTATTTATATCTTTCAAGTTTTACACCTGTCACCTGTTTCACTAGCTAGACTGGAAGAAAAAAAAAATTGTGATGAAAAATAAAGAGTTTAACTTTATTGGTTACTTCATATTTTGTTGTGGTGTTTCCGGACCAATAAATGTGGTGTTTGATTGACAAATAAATAAAAGGTTAAAATACCTGCTTGTCGCCTTGTGGTCCAAGTCTTGGACTACACACTTGGACCACAAGGCGACAAGTAGGTATTTTCAGTGGCGTAACAGCCGCCCCCGCAGACCCCGCGGTGCGGGGGGGCCCGCGAGGTTTAGGGGCCCGCGAGGTTAAGATACCCTTTTCTCATAAAACCGTCCGTAAAACCGATCCTTTGTTCACAAATGTTTTTCTCTCCTGACAAATTATAAATAAAAAAACGATGTGTTGGTAGATACTTTTATTCTGCCAAATCTACCAAAGTTTTATCTTTTAATTAACAATATTGTTAACGAAACGCCAACGCTCCCTACGATCACCCGACGATGTGTATTGTCAGTGTGGTTGTGTAGCTTCATGCTAGCGCTAGGAGCTGTGTGCCGGGCCTGCCTGCCGGCCTGCCGCCGCGCCGTGGCGACACACACTCGGAGCCAGCCCCTCCGCCTCCCCCCTCCCCCACTAACCGCTCACGTGTACTCAGCTGACCGTAGATCACCTGATTTTGGAGATCCATTCCATGCGGATTGCGAGTGACTCGTCAGTAGTGCATGTCGCGAGAGTTTCTCAATCAGGTGGCATGTCATTAAATTGGGCTAATTTAGTGAAGCACTAACATTTACAGTTGGGACCACGAAAGTTTGCAGTTGGCGGCAGCCAATCACAAGACTAGTGCGACGTTGCCATATCGCCCTTTGACGACACTAATTAAAATACTAAACAACATTTTTCAAACAGCTGGTATTATTCGATTTGGCAACACCGCACTGCCCTCATTGGCTCATTTGAAGTCAAATGGTAAATATGCTACTCCCTCAACTGCAAACTTTCGTGGTCCCGACTCAAATTATAGTTGGAAGCTTGGTTGAGTTTAGTAATGAATGTGAATGGTGGAGTAATGTAGTAGCCCATATATATTAATCACGGACATAACTCCCAAGTTTATTATCACTGTGACAGTGACAAAATATAAAATATGTTTCAAGGACGACTCTGGTCGTGTGGTTGAAGAATAGGTAAATACTTGATATTGCTAGAGACCATCCTCTGCCAGTCTGATCGTGTAGGCCGTATGCCTGCCGTCACCTACGTCATGTGATAGTTGTGGTGTGGTGATGGTTGTGGTATATAGTGCTGTGGTGGGGAATGGGAGGGGTAGTAGGGGGCCCACAGACATATTTGCGGGGGGGCCCGGGGAAATACTGTTACGCCACTGGGTATTTTAACCTTTTATTTATTTATTGGTTATTTTCTTATATACAGAATAGCCCAATAAATGAAAATCGTGAATGAAGAATCCAAAGAAATCAAGAACTAAGAACTCTGCACAAACATCCGGACTTAATAGCCATCATCAAAAGCAGGAGATTATCGGACGTGGCGAGAAAACCCGAAAAATCCCGTTATTAAAGAAGTATTTGAGGAGAGACCGCAGCAGGCACCAGACTGCTAGGAATGCCAAGACTTAGATGGAAAGATCAAATGGAAAAAGACCTGAAAAGGATAAGAGTATTCTGGGAGCAAGCCGAGGACCGGGAAGCCTGGAGGCGCATCGTTGCAGAGGTCAAAAAGCTACTTCTGTTTGAATGGCCACATCAGTAAGTTAAGGTAAGTTATTTTCTTATTAACACTTTCAGGGTGGTTGAGCGATGGCCAGCTGCGGCCCATGGCGGGAACAGCTAATGCACTGCGTGGTTGAGTGCCCGAAAACGTTTTAATTTAACTTCATTCAAATGAGAGGCATATTGTAGCATGTACTGGGTTCCAGTCGTTGTGGGTGTAGTTTTACAAGACAAGAACAGAACAAATACAGAACTAAACAAAACTGCTATCGGTAGCAGGCCCTCAGTATTGCCAAATGGAAGGAAAAGTAGGGGCAAAAAAACCCAGATACAAAAAATACCACAAAAAAAGCAAGTAGATTTGAGGTTAGGCTCCCTCAGGTTAATGTTTCACTACAGTAATAATTATAACATTCTATTACATATCAATAAATTCCAACCAAAACATCACACTACACTAAATTTGGAACAACCCCACCACTTATAAGTTAGTCGGATTTAAAACCAATAATACTGGATTGAAGTATACAACTGGCACAATAAGCGGCAATCGGATACAACGTTCTCTGTAAGAGGAGTTTGTTGTTGGCATGAGAGAAGGACAACATTTAAAATCAAATCAAATCAAATCTTTATTCATCATTTAACATGAGTTAAAATAGATTTTGTCAAAATGTATAATGTAAATACCTTAAAGACACCTCAAAACATGACTAGGCCTACAGCATTAAAGACAATTTGTTTAAAGGTTTCCAGACAATAAAATAAATAATAAATAAGCAGTTCAGACAAATGCACCTCGTAAAGAATTATTTTGGTAACTAAGTTAACTTATTGAATAAATACATAAACACTGGTGTATAATTTTAAAAAGCAGGTACGGTACCGGTACATAAATAATTAAGATTATCACAGTGGCTTAGGCAAAAGACTAACCTAAAATAAATAAATATTTGAGTGATAAAACATGTAAAGTAGGCTACTAAAAGAAACTAATAAAAAATTTAAATGATGCAACAAGCAATTTCCCGCCCCGTCCCACTGGTGTGGGTATTGTATGTCGAGATTTCCCACACCGTGCTAACAAATATTAACAATTGTTAGTTTTCTTTAGAACCAGTGATGTCAGAGTCAGTGAGGTCAGAGTCTGAGTGATCACTAGAGTGTGCGTAAGATTCACTTGTTCCCTGCTGAAGATAAACTGGTTGCTATTTTAGGTTGGATAATACATAGGAGATTTGCTAATTAGGAGATTATCACATGGAGGTAGGCCTATTGAGTGAAACACAAAACCTAATTGACACTTCTCTTATTTGGGAAATATAGAGGATACTTACATGAAAGTAGAAGAGCTTTCTTCAATTCCATTCCGTGACTTAATCTTTCAGCCATGTGGTGAAAGTGTGCTGAAAAAACACCAAGTACAGACTGGATTATAGTCAATACAAAGGACACATTTTAATCTTAACTGGACAGATTTGGCCAAATTGTGTACCACATTTACAAAGTCAGTACCAGTATTGGGTTCTTACCAATCTATTCACGGTTCTTGGTATTGAAATTATCATCAAACTGTCATCATGATGGAATGGCCTCTGGATTGTCTGAATTAACTATATAGTGGTTTAAAATACCTTGTTACTGTCAAAAACGATCCTTCGTATGCAAGACTACAACTGTTTCATGCTTCAAAGGAGCACATCTTCAGGTCGGAAGAACGTAAGTAGTCTTCATTAAGATTAGATATTCCTCGTAGTGGAGTTTGTCAAAAGTTTAATAAATAGGTAACAAAACACATAGCTCACGGAAACACAGCTCTCATTACGGCTCGCTTTAATCCTCCTTAGCGTCAACCGTTGACAGTCCCTTCCTGAAGCCGTACTGACGAGGGGATAGATTTCCTGCAGCAACCACGGTTGAATTCAGTCGGGAACGGATCAACTTTTCCAAGACTTTCCCAGCAGTGTCCAACATACAGAGAGGTCTGTAAGAGGAGGGTAGGTCTGGGTTTCCTTTTCCCTTCCCCACGAGCACAAGCCTAGCTGTTTTCCAGCAAAAGGGAAACTTGCCCTCGGCCAGACAGGCATTGTACGTGCTCAAAAGGATTTGTGGATTTATTGAAAAGACTTTCTTCAGGGCCTCACCAGGTACCCCATCCGGTCCAGGAGCCTTGTTGTTCTTCAGGGATAGAACGGCCGCCTCCAACTCCTCGAGACTGAACAGCGGTACGTCGTCCACCCTTCCGAACTCCCGCAATGGGCGCAGTGTGTGAGTCGGGAAAAGGGACTTTACGATCCTCTCCATAGAGGCCCCGTCCATAACGGAAGGTGGAGAGCGGGTGCCAAGCGGTGCGAGCCCTGTGGGCTTAGGTCACATGTTGGCCTGACTTGAAGTAATGTGACAAACAATTCCAGGTCTGTGTCCAACAGAGTAGAGGGGGTTTTTTAGTGAGTAGTCTGTGATAAACTCAGGAGTCTCACACTACAGGCTGGCTACCTGTGTGTGTAAAAGCATTTTCCCTCCTCACCCAAAAAAAAAAAAAAAAACTATTATCATCCTAACTAAATATTACTCACTCTTTATAAGACATATTTCCATCATAATATAATAAGTTAGCTAATAATAATATTATTACAAAGGGCATTTAATTGATTTCATTGATGTGATTATGAATGCAGTTTAATAATTGGAAGCAGGTAACTTTTTAAGTATGAATGAGAATTGTTTTCAAATAGGATGGATTTAACTGCCCGGGTACTGTTCTCGTTTAAATAAGCAAATCTTGAACCAAGTAAAATAATGTTGAACTGATTACCTATTTGTTTGTTTTAAAAAAAATCAGCAAGTCGCAGAAAAATAAAGAGGAAGTTGTGGGAAAAAAGAAGAACAGAATTAGGAACTAAACAAAATAGTAGAAGACAAAATAAATACTGAGGATCTAATTAGCGAGATTGAAAAGTACCCTGAAATTTGAATAGTAACGCGAGAAGGGAATGTTCAATAATTGCTCGTTAGAATTTTATCAACAAGTTCTACGGTGGATATTGGTGGAGTGGCTTGTCAGTTGCCTGTAACACCAACTGCGTTTGCCTGGGCGGTAACTGGTGGCGGCAACTAGTGACCTTACGTGAAACGGCACTAAAAATTAACACAAAATTATATTTTCTTACCAGTGCCAAAAAATAACGGGCAGATGAAGATTGCTGTGTTAGGACGGAAGCACTGCAGCAAGAGTGGTAGCATGCAAGCTCTGAACGTGAATTCCTCTGATAATGGAGCAACAATGTGGTTCCTCATCCATATCAGATTCAACATATTGTTAACCCAGTACATTGGCTCTGGAAACAGACAAAACAAAACCTTAATTTTCAATTTTGTAATTCACTAAGTTCATGAGAAATCTTGAGAAAAAATCAGACAATTAGAGTTAGACTTTGACTGTTATTTCAATAACTTAAATTATATGTTCAGTAAATTGTCTGATATCAACAATATGCAGAAGCGTGCTTTGAGATAAAGTACATTACTTATTTCTGATCAAAATTTGATTCTAATTCACAAATTATTGACCAGTACCATATTAGTTTAACTATTTTATTCAAAGTGAGCTGTGTAAGATAGTTTAAATTGTCAATTACCGTATAACATTTAGGCCTGGCTTATGAGCTGTGATGCTCATGACACAACGGATCAGGCCACGCAGCATTTGAATGTTTGACTAGCACATGTTGAGGCACAGCACACACACTACGCAGTCGCCAAGATCCAGAATAGCAATTTTTCTGATTTCGATATGGGAATTGAATTTTTCTCTATTTAAATGACATTTTCTTTAACGTATTTTTTGGGAAATAAATGAACTTGCCAAATTAAATCCAAATTTAAATTAATAAATAAATAAAAAGCAATTTAAATTAATGAATAAATAAAAAGCTTTTAATTTACATGGGAATTTCATATCAAATGGATTTCAAACTAACAAAAGTCAAAACTTAAACTAAACTAGCCTAATATACTGACATAAGAATAATATACAGAAAATGTCTACAAAATAAATTTACAATAGGTACATATTTTAATTTTGTTTTATTGTGGTCCTCAATGAGCTATATTTTTTGGAGCAGGGCCGCGTTAAGGGTCAGTGGAGCCCTGGGCAAACTCAAAAGCAGCGCCCCCATTTTTCCTAGTGCAGGCGAGCAGTAGTTGTACGGCATAATGCCCAGTCTGCCCATTTATAAGAGCGGGCCTGATTTGGAGTTCTTAATCTCCTGAGGAAGGCCATTATACAAATATGGGCCGAAATAAGAAAAAGACTTCTTCCAACCTCAAGCCTCACTTTAGTAAAGTGTGTGAATTGGTCAGAGCGAGTATTACACAGACAGATTCCCTCCCTGTACTTAAGCTTCTTGCTGATGTATTGAGGCTCTCCCAGCTTGAGCACTTTGGACCAGGCAGCAAGTCAGCTTCCTGCATCATCCATTAGGACGAGCTTTTGTAGCATCTCAAAAGGAGGACACATAGTCAAAGCGTAAGGCCAAAAATTAAGCTAATGGCAGAATTTTGATTTCTTTGAACTCTTACCAAATACTCCTTAGAGATGCTGTTTCTATATGTAGGAAAGCAATACTGTATGTAAGGACTGGGAGGACCTCAGCCTCATGAGTTGCGTTTTGGATTATTCTGCCGTTGAAATGCAGATGTGACAGGGGAATGAAATGCCAACAAGGGTGACTTCTATAGCTCAATTCCTGCATCAGAATGTGTGATCCAGTATGTATGACAAATCACTTATCAACATTCAACCAAAGGCCATTCATGACAGACCATTGCTCACAGAGCTATGTTCTCGCCTAATGAAAAATGGCAACAGCTGGTCCATATAGATGGGATGGCTACTGCAATATCCAAAAGCCAGCTATCACAAAGCCCTTTGGACTGTGCTTAGGATAATAAAATAAATGTCTGCTTTAATTAATATCTTTTTGCATTAAATTGTCAATACAATACAGATGACTATCAAACGCATACCTGCATAAAGCCTCCAAATGCCACTTCGCCCTTGCATTGCCAGGGGTCCAAGAAAAAGAATCATTGTAAGAACCAACGGTAAAATGGAAGCAACCAGTATGCCTGGTAATCTGAGACCTAATAGCTCCCATATCGTGTTCTGTAAAAAATTCATTAGCTTAACACAATTTTGATCTCAACATGGAGTTTAAAAAATAGTTGTTTTGTGATATGCAACTTCTTCATACTCTAGCATAGTTTTCTATTCAACTGATATTTTATAATGGATTACTCAAGCACTACAGAAAATTACTTATGTAGTACTTCACTAGATCAACTAGAACTAAAAGTAAGTGCACTTTTTCTGCTTGTATAAACCATTCATTTAATCACTTGATATTTACATTAACTGCAATTGCATGTAGGCCTAATACAACTTTGCATACATAAACAGAGTCTTCTTTACCACACTGTTCTTGTAAGTGAGCCAGGATTTGTAAGTGAGTGCTAGCTTAGGTAACCTAGACAGAGATAAACTTTTTTAACATATTGATGTGCACAGATACATTTATTTACAACACAGATTCGCCAGAGAGTGCATTTTAAGCTGGATATGACATTTGTATGATGCATACAAATTCAATTATAATAAACAAAACTCTATACTTGAACAGTGTCAAGAAATAACATTTGTCTAAAACCAACATTTCTGTTTTTCATCTATGGGTCATGAGCCCTACAGTACAACATGCAAGGAGGATAGTGTCATGTTTGTAAGATACTAGCTGTTACCGCCCCATTTGACTTCATATGTATTAAAAAAAGCTATTGATTGCCATACCGGTTTGAGTGGCACTTTAAAAGGTTTTCATGGTTACTTTGAAAAACAAAATTGGGCTTAATAAGCTGTCAGGGCGGAGCCATAGTAGAGTATTAAAATTAAAATGACTATGTCCTTAAAGTCTGTGGTTAAATATTGGCTCTACTAAGGGGAAAAATCAGCTCAAATAATCGGTCAAGTATTTGTCACGTTATTGACATACTCAAAACATTCATATCTATAATATTAGTTCTTTACATCCAAGTCATTGACTTGATCAGTAATGCACTAAAATTATTAACACACTAATCCGTTTCCCAGAAATTTCTCTGGGAAACAGAAACAAAACACTTTTTTATAATAGTCAGGTTGGGTAGCAGGAAAATATTTCAGTTCTGGCGGAGAGGCTGCAATTTTAGGTGGTTATAGTATACAAGTTTCTGAATCAAAAACCGCCGAGACCCCAATTTTTAAGGACCTCGGTCGTCCGTAATGACGTCATCAAAATGGCGGCCGTAAGAGGATGCTGGGTCCCCATGAATTGGCTATAACGACCGAATGCCTGAACCGATTTTCATGAAATTCGGCACACAAGTGCTTAAATACATTATCTCGGCCTGGGTTGAAAATGGTCAAGTTTCATCAAGTCATTTCTAAATGGCGGCCGTTAAAACCTAAAATTAAAAATAAATCATTCATTGTTTTGTGTTCTCAACTCCCTCCAAAAATCTGCAGCAACCTATTCACTTTCCTTGCAATAAAAGATTGCATTACCGTCTCTGCATTTCATGGAATAGGCAAAATACCCCCACCACAGCCAACCTGCAGATTAAGTGAGTTTCCATTTCCCTGATTTGATTTTCAATTAAATCAATTTCAATAACATTAGGTTTCATGAGTATCTAGGTTTGCTGCTACAAGGAGATTAATAAAGTGAATTTTTATTAATATATTAATAGCTTAGTTTAAAATAAATAAATTTGCCAAGTTTCATTAAAATATAATCATAAACAAGCAAACTACAACAGTTTATGTACTCTCCGTAATAATAACATGGGAATTTTAAATTTACAATGTTTTAAATTTTCTCCGTAACCAATTACCTTATAATACCCCCGCCGCCGCAAACCTGCAGACTTAGCGAATTTCCATTTGCCTGATTGGATTTAGGCCCTACTCTAAAATATCTCCTTAAAAATGTCACATTTATTCCCCACTTAAATAGCATTTGTTTAACGAGTACTTAGGTTTGCTGCAACAGGGAGAGTGAAAACGTATTTTTTTATGAAATGTAATAGTTTAGTATGAAATGAATAAATTTTACAAATTTGATAAAAATATGTTCACAAACAAGCAAAATACAACAGTTAACTTATTCTCCATAAGAATAACATGGGAATTTTAAAATTACAGATTTTTGGAATTTTCTTCGTAACCATTAGGCGCATAGCTACGCTTTAATATACTAAATTATTTTTTTTTTTAAGCTCTACAAAATTGTTTGAAAAGAAATTGCTAAGTTTTAAGTTTTTAGGGTTAAAAATGGGAAAAACCAATTTTTACCCATAAAGCCCTCCATAAACCCCTGTTCCCATAGTCCGATCATGCTGGTTTGCGAACTCCTAACTTAATGAAATTTTGCAAAAACAAGTAAACCAACGTTTCTTCGAACAAGTTCACAAACCAGCGTGGTCGGGCCTTGGCAACGGGGGTTTTGGGGTGATTTAAGGGGTAAAAATTGGGTTGACCCAAAAATGTTTGACCCTCAAAACATGAAATTCCCTAATTTTTCTCTAAACAATTTTGAAGATCTTAATAAAACAAATAATTTAGTGAATTCAAGTGTTTTTATGAGGTTATTGGTTACGGAGAAAATTCAAAATATTGTCAATTTAAAACTCCTACGTTATTATTACGGAGAGTACATAAACTGTTGTAGTTTGCTTGTTTATGATTACATTTTTTGAAACTTGGCAAATTTATTTATTTTAAACTAAGCTATTAATATATTAATAAAAACTCACTTTATTAATCTCCTTGTAGCAGCAAACCTAGGTACTCATGAAACCTAATGTTATTGAAATTGATTTAATTGAAAATCAAATCAGGGAAATGGAAACTCACTTAATCTGCAGGTTGGCTGTGGTGGGGGTATTTTGCCTATTCCATGAAATGCAGAGACGGTAATGCAACCTTTTTTTGCAAGGAAAGTGAATAGGTTGCTGCAGATCCCTGGAGGGAGTTGAGAACACAAAACACTGAATGATTTTTTTTTAATTTTAGGTTTTAACGGCCGCCATTTTGAAATGACTTGATGAAACTTGACCATTTTCAACTCAGGCCGAGATAATGTATTTAAGCACTTGTGTGCCGAATTTCATGAAAATCGGTTCAGGCATTCGGTCGTTATAGCCAATTCATGGGGACCCAGCATCCTCTGATGGCCGCCATTTTGAGGACGTCATTACGGACGACCGAGGTCCTTAAAAATTGGGGTCTGGGCGGTTTTTGGTTCAGAAACTTGTATACTATAACCACCTAAAATTGCAGCCTCTCCGCCAGAACTGAAATATTTTCCTGCTACCCAACCTGACTATTATAAAAAAGTGTTTTGTTTTTGTTTCCCAGAGACAAAATCTTGTACGTTACACGTTACGCAAGAGCGTGTTTACATCACTTCGGTAAATTATGCAACTCGCTTCCGCTCCTTGCACAACATTCACCTGCGTGATGTAAAAACGCTCTTACTACACTTGTAAGGTAAATAGCTATTATTATATTGAAGTGTTGTTGTAGCCTTTGCATAAAAGTTTCAGAGAAAAATCCAACAAACAGTAAATTTCAAATTTCTACCGTATGTTCTTCAGCAGAATAAAATAAAACTGTTTTAGTTTTCTTGTTTAAGAATATTTATACATATTTTGATAAAATTTGGCAAATTTGTTTCTGTAACAACAAATATTGATGAAGTAAGGTTCTAGGAAAATCCATGTTGAAAATTAAACAGAAAATAAGAATATCGACAAAATCATGAGTTTGGCAGATTCACTTTGTGTCTGAATTTCTTTAAAATATCTACCTTCACTAACCTTGTCAAACACATCACATCCAGAGAACATGTAGAGAAATAGGGGTGAAACAAACATCATAGCAAATACACTCAAAAACCTCTTCTTTATGGTTGTTGGATGATCTCTGTAACAAAAACAATCATCATACAGCTATAACATCACGTTGATTGGGCTTTTCTTTATAAATATATGCCTAGATAGATGGTGTGTTGATGGCCTAGACTCCCTGATGGGTTATCCACATTGACCATCGATTCAATGTATAATAACTCCCTGGATTGCGCGCTCAGGTAGAAAAGTAGGGCTCGAAAAACTGCCAAAGGCCATCGCTACCTCGCTCTGTTCACCATAGGAGTGGTGTTAAAGGCACGACCCACCCTAGTGCGGAGCGTCACGCCCGCTCTCGCCGTGTATTGCTATGTTAGTTTTGTGGAATCATACCGAGGATAATTGATTGTAACGAACTTAGGCCCATTCTACACGAGAGTAAAACCCGCGAAGGGATTCCCGCGTCGTGGCCACGCGCTCGACGGGGACCATTGCGTTAAATTGGCGTGTCTACACAAGCGGGATTCACGACGCGGGTCAACGCGTCAGTAGGCGGGAGCGAGAAGTTGACGTTGATGTCGGCGATAATCCCGTGTCGGAAATCCTGCTAGCCATTCTACACGTAGCGGTATCAACGCGCGCGGCAGCTTACTTCACATAATATTGTCCAGTTGCGTTTAACTTGGCCTCTAACCACAGACAATTCTGTGGTTCAACTCAGGGTGGTGTAATGTTTGATCATAAATGTAGCATTGAATTAGTTTTCATATGTTATACATGTTGCATGCCTTTATTCAAAAGTATTTTTATTTTAACTATGAAAATAATTGGTAAGCTTCAGCTGGTAACTTAAGTAATGTGTTTGACATACAGTACATTTAATTTATTAACATCAATTAAAATATTCATTTCTAATGCCAAATAAAATAAAAATAAAATCATAATATGACAACCATAATATGTTCTATACAATTGAAATTGCAATCTATTCGTCGGAGATAAGCGATTTTGTATATACTGAAGTTAAATTAAGCTATATTTCTAAACAATGTGAATAAAGAATAAAAGAAGAACTTGGTCCAAATTAATAGCTTGAGTTGGACAACTCCGGCTATAAAACCGAGCTCCACCAACTCGTTTACCAACTCGTGTCCACCAAGCGTCTACGTGACGGGGATCCCACCACGTGTAGTTTGCACATAATTTTGGGGCGTTCACGCTGGAATCCCGTCGCGGGTTTCACGCTCGTGTAGAATGGGCCTTAAGGAGGTTTTATAAGCAGATATTATTAATCTATGTACTTGCTCACACTATACAGAGTACTTGGGGACCGAGCTTTGCTCGGGGAAAATCATTAGTTCACTCTGAAAGCACCTTAGTATTGGTGATACATAAATCCATTCCCAAACTCCACACGGCTCGCCTTTACTACGCCCTACACCATTTCCTACGTCATGGACCTGTTTCCCTCCATTCCCATTGCATTTAAAGATTGCAGATACCTTAATCTAATCGTCATAAACAGTTCCCACACTCCGGACTACTCGCCTTGACTACTTCCTTCACCACTTCCTACGTCGCGGACCTGTTTCCCTCCCTTCCCATAGCATTTTAGGTTTGCTGATACCTTAATCTAATCGTCATAAACAGTTCCAACACTCCGGACAACTCAACCTAGACTACTTCCTTCACCACTTCCTACGTCGCGGACCTGTTTTCCTCCCTTTCCATAGCATTTGCTTCCTCAAATTTACGGTATGCTATAGTATTGCAATGTGAGAAGACACGGTTTGAGAAAATTTGCTTCCTCAAATTTACGGTATGCTATAATATTACACATCTACCATAGCCATTATGTTCTACCACTTCACCTACACAATAGAGAAAGAGATTATTAAATACCCCCGCCGCAGAAAACCTGCAGACTAAACGAATTTCAACTTGTCTGATTACATATTTACTAAAATACTTCCATAAATAAGACATATTTATTCCCAATTTAAATAACATTAGATAGGCTATAACGAGTGCTTAGGTTTGCTGCTACAGGGAAGGTAAACAGTGTTTTATGACCAAACGTCAATAGTATAGGATGAAATAATTAAGTTTGCCAAATTTGATCAACATATTTCCATAAACAAGTAAACTACAACAGTTTTCATTTTCTCCATAAGAATAACATGGGAATTTTAAATTTGCATTTTTTTTTATTTTCTCCGTGATCGCTAGGCATACAACAATGCTTCAATATACTAAATTATTTCTTTTTTTAAGCTCTACAAAATGGTTGGGAAAGAAATTCTAAAATTTTATGTTTTTAGGGTCAAAAATGGGAAAAAAACATTTTTACCCTATAAAACCCCCCATAAACCCCTGTTCCCATATGGTCCGATTATGCTGGATCGTGAACTCGTTCAAATAAATGTAGGTTTACACATTTGTACTAAATTTCATCAAAATCGGATCATTTTTGCTCGAGTTATCACGCTAACGGACACACATATATATATATATATATAAATAAATATATATATATATATATAAATATTTATATATATGAATTTGAACGGATGGTGTTTTTGGCCTCTAGGGACCTCAAAACGAAAAAAAAAATCGGTCCCGCGTCCAGGTCTTACCATGAGTACTACGGTAATAGCTTATTCCCTATATGGGAAGTTTGCTAAAATTCGCAAAATATAACAAATTATTTGTGAAATTAAAAAAATAAACATAACTGTAAACAATCCTACTTTTACAGTTTTCATTGCGTATCACAGTTTTTTTGTTGCTGTTTAGTTCAAATTCGCTGTTTCATAAATCTTAACCCTTCCAGAGCTATGGATGGATATTTCCGTCAATCTTTGCTTACTCCCAGGGCTGAAAATGGATATATCCGTCCCAAGAAATTTCTTTTCTGGGATAAAGACGGATATATCCGTCCAAAAAACGAATTGATATACAATGTTTATAATAGGGTAATAAACATTACACTGCATTATAAATATGTTATTTTGTTTTTGTGGGTGGTAATAATAATTGCCGCAGCTGTTTCGGCTATTTTGCACCATATAGAGTGTGCGTAAGTAAATATTGCTGTCACTTCACACATGGTTGTTAGTGAGTAATGTTAACATTTTGTATTTTGTACCTTATTTTTATGTTATTGAGCTAAAGTTACTAACGCAAACGATCTGAAATTTGAAGATGTTATTGAGATGCTTAATAAAAGTATGTCTGAGGGGGGTTTTATACTTGGCAGTGAAAATAATAGTATGGAATGTGATGGATATGATGAACCTGAAGAACAGTCTTTAAGTAGTGGAAGTCTTGGCGGGGAATGGGATTGAGGACATGGGAGCGGAACTGAGTGGTTTAGATTTACTTCAGAATGATAGATACATTTTTATGGATAAAAAATAAAACAAGGGAAGGAATAGCCTAAGGTTGACGGATATATCCGTCTGCCGCCCACAAGAATACTCAAGATTATTGGCAGTGTTCATATTTTATTTTGTGATTATCACTGAGGGCGGCAGACGGATATATCCGTCCACCTTATATTTTTTGTGGGCCAAAGACGGATATATCCGTCAAATCAAATTTTATTTTGTTCATAACTTTTGTACAAAAATTAGTTCAGCCCTAAGGAAAATCTTTTTATGATCCATGAATTATTTCAAGTAAAATAAGTACAAAACACAACCACTTTAGTTTTTGATTTTTGGCAAAAAATAATTAAGCTCCAGCCCTTCATTTAATTTAGCCCTGGAAGGGTTAATATATAAAAGAAAGTTGTGTTAGTTACCGTACAGTGTTTATTACTAGAAAACTACTAAACCAATTGACATGAAAATTTACAGGGATATTCCTTAGGTACTAGAATAACATAATAGCCTGTTTCCGTTTAAAAACCCCTTAAGGGAAGCGTCCTATGGCCCTTTGCAGTTTACATGCTAATCTTATGGAAGAATATTTTATTTTGTTTACCATGCCATGTTCGTCATTTCTTGATTAAATTAAATTAAGGAAACAGCTGTTGTAATGATAACCTAATTTTTAAAACAAATATATGCAAAACAAATGAGAGCTATCAAATAGGTTTCTATTCCATTTGTTTTTTACGAATATTTGTTGTCAAATGTAACTGAAGGCAAGTGAGCGCAGCGAACGAGCTCCAACCTAAAGGTGAATGAGCGTAGCGAACGAACTTCAACCTGGAGGCGAGTTAGCGTAGCGAACGAGCTAACCTGAAGGCAAGTGAGCGCAGCGAACAAGCTCCAACCTAAAGGTGAATGAGCGTAGCGAACGAACTTCAACCAGGACGTGATTGAGCCATGTGAACGAGCTCATCTTGAAAATGAACGAGCATTTGACATAAAACCACATTAGGACAGGACGACGTCTGTCGGGCCAGCTAGTAATGAAAAAAATAATAATACTGCACCCTGTTGGTAAATCTTATAACTTTTTAATGCTTTTGCATATCATAGAACCAACTCTTTTAGTTGAAACAGCTGGCTAAATTCTTTAATTCCCTTTAAATATGAATACTCATAAGGTTAACATGGGTAACTGCAGAGCCACTGGGGGGGAGCCCAAAAGTATTTTTGAAATAAGAATATGCCTATAATATGTTAATCGGGAATGTGAGCTATCATCATGCCAAATTTCAGCCCAATCCGACCAGTATTTTTCACGTTTACTTGTCACAAACATACATACATCCAAACTTTCTCATTTATAATATTAGTAGGATAATTATTTGATCACATAAGCATGTCATCATTTGCTGCTGTGAGGCCCAATTATTATTAAGGGACTTTGCAACATTTAAGAATATATATTTTGTTACCTGGACCCGGGACGGATTTCCTTTTTCGTTTTGAGGTCCCCAGAGGCCAAAAACACCATCTGTTCAAATTCATATATATAGAGTACCTATATATATACTAGCAGTTTATCCGGCACGTGTTGCTGCACTTAACAACTATTATTTTAAATGGTAATTTGTTCTGTACAATTATAATAAAAATGTATAGGCCTACCAAAAACAAAAATAGAACATTTATGTTAGCCTAAACAATGTTTTTTGTTTTTTCATTAAGTGAACCCTTATGTTTACATATTTAATAGTGGAGAATTTAAAAGTTGTTGAATGCACATGTGTGTTTGATTGGGGCTTAATATATTTAGGCTTATCCAAAAGTAAAATAGTTTTCTGTGCTGCATTCTGTGGGTACGGTGTGGCAGTATTTCAAATCATGACTAATACAGAATGATTATTCATACCTACAATCATTGACTATTGGATTTACAATGCAGTTGGTGAACGTAAACTTCTGCTTTTAAATTAAATTTATTTGTAAACATTGTAGTTCCAAAAGTCTGACATTATTTGGACTTTGGACCACTTAAAAACTCTCTGGGGCGGAGCTCTTTTCATGGATCTGCACCAAACTTCACACAAACAATCCTTGAGTAATGAGTACCCAATGCTTAATAATGCATGAAAGTTCTTTTGATGAAATTTGGTACAGACGTTTAAACCTACGTTTATTCGATCGAGTTCGCGAACCAGCATAATCGGATTATAAGAACGGGGTTTAATGGGGTAAAAATTGATTTTTCTCATATTTGACCCTAAAAATACAAAATTTCATAATTTTTCTCCGAACCATTTGTTTGAGGAAGCGTTATTGTATGCCCAACGGTTACGGAGATAATATAAAAAAATTTTTGATTTAAAATTCCCATGTTATATTCTTATGGAGAATAAATAAACTGTTGTAGTTTGCTTGTTTATGGATATATTTTAATCAAATTTGGCAATTTTGTTTATTTCATACTAACGCTCCTTTCACACTTTACGATTTCGCTCGTGCGGTATTTGTTGTATCGCATTGGAGCTTATGACCCCTCTTTCACATTATACGATTACCAACCGTGTACAATTTTCACCTGCATAGTGACCGTAGGTGCACGTACGGTTGGTATCCGACTCCCGCACGAGTAAATAATCATCTCTACTGCTAGTGGCCATGTTACGATTGTTTAGTCATGCGAGAGCCCTCCCCGAGTGCAGTTCATTGTGTTTTTGAAATATAGTTGTTATTTCGTTTTTCAGTTTTATTTTTGTTATTGAGTTTAATTACCTATTATTCAGTTTTTGTGCCCAACTTATGATACCCATAATCTTACTAGATTTTGTGTTCTTGCTCAATTAGGGCGCATTAAAGTAATATTGTGTTTTATTTTTTATTTTTCTACTTATGATGCCTAATTAATCTTACTAGATTTTGTGTTCTTAACTGAATTCTATATGGCGCATTGAACGTCGTGTTATTTTTTTGTAGGTCACTTTTCATTCAATTTTTCGTGAAGTTCATCGGACGATTCTCTCGACATAATAAAATAATTTAAAAAGCTTGCCTTCATCGTTCCTCAAGTCTTGGAATAAAGTATTAAACATCCCCACTTCCTCACGTTTTTAAATAGGATGTACCCAGTGGAGACGGTTGCGTTTCTTTCTTTTCCTCCGTCTGTAAATAATTATAGCAGCAATAATTTGCTCGCGATCCATACTGCTCAACACTTTCCACTGAAGTATCAAAGAACTCTGTTCAGGTGGAGTGGGGGGTTTCGATTTATTAATCGTACGATTACAAATCGTATAGGTAGTGTGAAAGCAACAGACCCATGATTGTCTGCCCGTACGATTAAAACTCGTTTTGGTAGATATTTCAAAATTATAAATGAACTAGCTGTGTACCCGTTCTACGCACGGGGATCTTTTAGTAATCAGTTGAAACCTTCTTATATAAAGAACAGCAGTTGGTTTGCATATTTTCAGATATGCTGGCCAAACTATTTATTATACATAACTTCATTTTATGTCGTTTGTTGTTGTTCTGGATCGGTATGACAATCAATAAAAGGCTAAATTACCTGTGTCCGCTGGTCGATCCTAATGTATCCTATTACAGGAGATGCATTTCGGCGAAATTAAATCGCCATCATCAGTCCTAAAGGTCTTGAGCTTCCCCATTAGGCGCGTCTTGGAGTTTTTGAAACACATACACGAACTGTACACTTATACACATGACGAATAAAACATAAATACACGGTTAGGCCCACTTTTATTTTTACTATAGACAAGTAGACGGGCGTCGGTCGTGTGCCGAGTCTCGACTGAAAACGCTCATTTAAAAAATGTAAGTTTCCCAGCAATATACAACACTGATTCAAGGTCTATTTCCCGGTTATCAAAACTCAAGAACAATTTTATACACAAAGAATCTATATTTTCATTTACTGTTACCCTACATATTATTGCACTTGCGATTAATTAAATCCGTTATGTAAGGAAAAACGTTTTTAATCTTAATTGGTTTGGATTTGCTTTCAAAACGTGATCGGAAATGGTTGCGGTATTTGTAAACAACATTCAATGTAAACATATCAGTGACAGCTAGAAGAAATAATCTTGATTTGAACAGCTGTTCGTTATTTCATAGAAGAATAGGTGCTAAACAAAACATTGGGAGAAAACTTTACAAAAAATCGCACAAAATTGGGTAAAACGTCCGTTATTTTATTTACAAAGTGGTGATGCCATATTTTAATGGCTAAAGACAATTTCGCCAATCCAGTGAATAAACTTACATTAAAATGATTTGGAACTTGATTTGATAGGTACTCTCGTTTTTCAGGAGTAGGCCGCGTAAAATGGCTCTTGGGTCGTAACAGACATGAAGACAGACAGAAATTTAGATGAGACTTGTTTCGGTTTCTCTAATGTATAAAACGTAAAAATAACCTAAAAGTTTATGATTCTGAGCAATGTACAGACAAAACTCTAATTTTATTTATATAGATATATAAATGTAATCTTATGTAAATAAAGGGAAAGCATATTCATACTACCTAATTATTTTGCATTTAAATTTTAAAATTCCCCCCTTTTTGCGGGGAAAGTCCTTCAAACCACTCATACCCAGATCAAACCCTTTCTTGATCCTTGTCAGGCGTACCCAAAAAAATATTTCTGGAGCCACCCCTGTCTGCAGGTTTTCTGCGGCGGGGGTATCCTTGGTTTTATTTCTGTTCTATTCTGATGCTGGTTCTTCTAAACCCAAAAATATTGGACCTCATAAGTATTTATTTTTATTGATAAATTATTTCCTGAGAGTCACGAACAGTGGCGGATCTAGATCAGTCACAAGGGGGCGGCAAACAGGGGGGTTCGGGGGTATCCCCCCTCCCGAAAAAATAGTGTAAACTAAGTCTCCAAAATGGCTGTTTTATACCATTTCTTTGTCCAAAGTGAGTTTGACAAATTATTTTACACAATGTGTATGCACTGGTACTGTATTACACGCAGTAAAAAAAATACATTATGTATGCCCGAGGGAGGGGCGGTCACCCCGTTCCCTCCCTCTGGATCCGCCACTGGTTACGAAGACAAATTAGTATAGAACTTGAAACTGTTAAACAAAACATTTGCATACATTATACATTTTCTACATTATCAAGAGCTTCTATTTTATGATTGCAAAGTTTGCTCGTTGGCAAACCTGCCATGCCAGCAATCATGATGAGGGGGCCTATCCTGAAAATTACACAGTTCTTTGATAAGTTATAATCTTTGATTGCGAAGGGTTGTAAAAATTCTTACCTGCTATGAGGCGAATTCCAAATATAAAGACTTGACACATAAACAACAGAAAGAATAAAACAAGCACTAATCGAGCTTATACATGGGAAATTCTCTACAGGGATGCCAGCCATGCTTGCAATCTAGTCACGTGACACACATACTAGCTCCTGATTGGTCAATTGGGCTTCCGTCTACTGACTGACTTTTATGAAGGGACCACGGAACGAGAAAATGGCTGCTATGGTTGGTGTTGCTGTCTCCTTTGTTTGAAAAATTAACTTTATATTTGCATTGTACTGACTGTAAAATGCCGAGTGCTACATTTAGTTCATCACGATCCTACGTTCGGCGATCCCGGAGAAAAGGTGCTAATAGGATTCCTCTTCCATCTAGAACCAGTTCAGGTAAGTTGTTACGATAAAATTATTTTATCTATTTAAGGATTGACCATGGACTCGTCCTGCCAGTAAATCCGTAATGTCTCCCACATTTCATCTCAATACTAAACATTCAATGTTACCGTAATAATCATGGGACGGGCACACAAAGTAGTATATTAAATTAACTTAATAGTTTGACCCGTTTTCCTATTAATTCTTGTCAGCTTAATGTTTTGATCAGGACCTGTCAAATACTGATCCACAGCTGCACGGATGATATAGTGGGCCCTAGGCCTAGGCCCTAGTTAATAGGTAACTTACTAGCCAGGCCAGGAGGAGGAGACTTATCGAAGTTGCTTCCAACAAATGTCTTATCTAAGTTTATTATGTTATTAAGTTACTTAAGTTAATCTATTTAAATTTAAACGGGTTCAAGTTTTAACTTAAGGTATTCTATTTTGGATCCTGGCACATCCTAATGTTGTAAATTAACTTAGGCCTAAATGAACCTTGTTTTTTAACCAAGTTTAGGCCTAAGCCTTTATTTTAATCATGCCCTTGACCTTAACCCTGCAACACTCGCGCGGGTGACAGTTGTCACCCAGCACTTTTGTTTAGGGCACAGCTCGGTCGCCGAGTGGGGGGGAGAGGCGTGACCTTCAGTAGCTTTCCGTTACAAACAATAGATCCTCCTATGTGCGTGTTCGCGCGTCGAACCGGTTGGTGGCCCGTGTTATATCGCTAAATAGTCGGCTGGGTCACAAGTGTCCCCTGCGCGAGTGCAACCGTCATGAGTGTACCGAAGCGCCCGAGATTGTGCGATGACCCATAATTTTGGACATGTTGATGGAAGATAGTTTTGATAAAGATATAATAGAAAATGACAGTAAAGAGGACCAGATAGAGGCAAAAAACAACGTGTCGGACATTGAAGAACATTGTGGACAGACATTGTCGGACATTGTGGAGTAGACAATACCTCCTGCCATGTATAGTTTAGCGTAAGTTTTTTTATATTTTTTTATTTTGTTTTTTAAGTTAGCCTATGCTTTTTATTTTTAGGCTAAGTCAGTAGAGGAATAAACAGTCACATGTTTCAACACACTTGTAACTATGCATACCTTGAATGTCATGTGATGTACAAAGATGCACACTTTCATTTGAAACTGCTATATCTACAGTAATTTCAGTTTTTACTACGGTAAATAAAAAACATATTTTGACAATGAAATATCTGTGTTTGTGTTCATTATTAAACTACTTATTGAAATAAAAATTGTTTTTACTATGTTATCTTGAAAGTAAAATTACAAATTTTAAGGGTAAAAATCCATAAATTTATTTTTGGTCAAAAAAGAATACACCGTATTTAAAAATTTAACATTTTTAAGTTATAGGCCTACTGGACAAAAAAAACATGAATACTATTCATAAATAATCTAAAATAGCCACTTAATAGGTTTTGAGACATAATACAATAAAACAAATTAATATTTTTACATATATATATATATATATATATATATACAAAAACGAAATGGGGGACAACTGTCACCCGCGCGAGTATCCATGTTATGAGATATGGCGCGAGTAGTGCAGGGTTAAGCTAATGTAGCTCTATAGATCTCAGGGATAACTTAGGCTTAATATAAGTCTTTCAGTTTTTATCTTTAAACTAGTGGCCTGTAGGGGTCATAGCCCCTAATTTAGACACAATTGTCCATATGAAGGCAACTCCCCATTTCGCGGTAGTAAGTCAGAAATATATCTATGAATTTGTCCCTGAATTTTAAAACAGGAAGGCCCATTTCCCTGGAATCTCTTTATGTGTAGCGGAAAGCGACGCAAAAGCCATTGCACTGTTGTATTGCCTTATACTTTTTATGAAGTTAGAATCATAAAAACATGACTTTTAGTTCATAATTTAATTGTGGTTGTGGCATGTTAAATAGTCCATAGTGGCAACATGCGTCGAAATGTCCATTTGTGGCCTCCTCTGCAAATAATGCGCCACAATCACAATGCAAGTGCTAAGAGGACCTAAATAGATTGTGAGAAAAAACACTCAACTCCTTTTCCAGCGTTCTTCTGAGGTCTTCCCCTGCCCTGTCTAGTTACTTCACTCATTATAAAAACGGAAAACCAAAAAATTAAACGAATACATTTCATTTTGAAACATTATTTAACAACATTGACTTTCGGAATAAATGTAAACATTACAAATAAATTTTCAGTCGTTTTTCAGTCCCCATGCTTTTCTTATGGTTGATATTTTACGTTATATCTCGTTTTCTGGTAACTTTATGGGAATTCCGATATTTTTCCCGAGTCCCTGGGGTCAAGACCTTTAATTTAAGACCCCTCCCACTTTTCTGCCACTTACCAGACATCCGCAATTTTCTGGTAAAGATTTTGTCTTACAGAATTATATATATATATATAATATATAAGGATAGGCTACCGGTACGGTAACTTATTAGGCCTGGGCCTACATTAAAAAAACCTTTTGAGTTATTTTATGCAACGATATAATGTATCTTTTACTAAGATCTCTAAGGGAAATAGAGAGGAAAACAAAAAGTGGCAAAACGGCCATTGGTGACCTGCATGTTCATAGGATAGGCTACACTAACAAGCACTTATCGTAGCTAAAAGATTCGCCCAATCCGATGATTCGAGGTGTATGTCTAAATCAAGGATTAACTTATGAACACCTCACTATGCCCCAGTGGTTGTAACTTAAGTTAGTATATCGCTACAAACACACAGGTCACCAATTATTTGCCACTCGTGACAGGACGGGAATTGAACCCGAGCAAACAAATGCCAATGGCCAAGTGACACATGGCATACCGGTAGCCTACTCGGCTATCTGTGCTTGGAGACTGAGGGTGTCAAAAATCGGTTTAAACTTTTGATTTGATTTTGAACAATCAAATCTCAGGGGGTAGACTTAATTTAGGTCTTTCAGTATTTTTGTTTAGGTAAATATCGAACATACGCTAGGCCTAGGTTAACTTATATAGGCCTACCGGTAAGGTATTCTGTAGGGTCAACCGGGGCTAATATGAACACACCAAAATATTGGGGCTAATATGAACAATGACTTAAAAAGTCATTTATCTGGGATTTTTAATCATGAAGAAAATATAATTAGAAAGGAAATTTATTGTATTTTTTGTGTCCATAATGAGAAAACTTCAAATTTGACTTTTAGGTACTTTAAAAAAATACTTTGTTAAAACACTTTTTTTCCGCCCAAAAAACTTTTCCGCGCAAAGTGAAAACTTTTGTTATAACAATTTTTACATTGGTTGTAGGAATAATCTTAAGCCTGAATTTTGTTAAATAAGAATTGGGGATTATTTTTCTTTTCCCAAAGTTAAAATATATTAACAACAGCCAAAGTTATAAGCTTTCAAAGTTGGGGGGCTAATGTGAACAGTGAATGGGGGCTATTATGAACAACAATATATACAGTATATATTGTACTATATATACAAGCTCAGGCTGACGGGGAGATCGAAGTGATGGGATTTAAATCCTGCGATGAGGAAAAAAAATCATTCCTGAAAAAAGAAGATGATATATTTATTGTTTCTACCACTGACATTTTGGGGAAACTTCCAGCCCCTAATGTATGTGGAACCAGTGATAGACATAAGTATGTCTTCGACAAAATTGTCGAAGTTTTTGAGGCGTAAGTTCCTCAATAAACTTCTTTGAAGGCCTTACAGTGATAAAACAGTTTTAATTTTACAAAGACAACAGTTAAGGTGTTGAATAGGCCTAGCCCACATTTTTATATTTACCTAATAGGCCTAAAAGTGCAATAAACTGTCATTTGCCTAAACGAACAATTTCCATTGTCTTAAATTATTGTTTTTTTAAGTGCTTTAAACAATTTGTATGTGGAAGAAATTTTTAATAAATAGGTACTCAGGTATGTTGACAGATAATTTTTTTCTTGTTTATATCTTATTATTAGCCTTGTATAATATTTATAAATGGTTTAAAAAAAAAGGGTTACCGTAGGGCGACCCGCGGCTCTCCAAAGATACCTTCATATCTCAAAAACTATTTGAGATAAAATATTGAGACTTATTGCAACTGGTAGACTAGACCCTAGGCTTGTTCACAACAGCCCCCACATATGCCTAGTGTTGTAAATAACAGAGTTATTAAGAGTGTTCACATTAGCCCCATGGGCTGTTCACATTAGCCCCTTTTAGCGGGGCTAATGTGAACAGTGGTTTTTAATTTTTTTTTAAATAATGGTTACATTTATGGTTTTTGTTAGTAAATAAATAGATTCAGCTAAAAGAGCTGTATACACTACTATTTTTTCTTTTCTTCTGTCATTTACCATTTTTGAGTCAATGTCAAAAGTTTACTTTTTTTGTTCATATTAGCCCCTGTTGACCCTAATTAAACATTAGGGCCGCAATTAGTGAAAAGCCTAAGCCTAACTTATTACCTTAATTACCTCCTTCGTCTTCAAGACCAGCGATGCCGGATAGGTTGTGTCAATACTATTTACATATTACTAAAAACAAAACTTTTCTCTTTAGATAAAACTTTTATGTCATGGCATTATATTGCTGTACTTATAACAGAGACCACAGAATTAAAATAGACCGGGCATGCCAAATGGTAGCATTAATTGGCCTTAACCTGTTTCCAAATGATCATTTCTTGGACCATGCTCCTACTGAAAATCATTTTTAGCGAATTTCCCATATAGGGAATAAGCTACAGTAGGCCTACTCATGGTAAGACCTGGACGCGGGACCGATTTACTTTTTCGTTTTGAGGTCCCTAGAGGCCAAAAACACCATCCGTTCAAATTCATATAGGCTATACTAGTAGGCTATATAAGGTACTAGGTATATATACACCGGTACCGTATATATGTGTCTGTTAGCACGATAACTCGAGCAAAAATTATCCGATTTTGATGAAATTTGGTACAAACGTGTAAACCTACATTTATTCGAACGACTTAGCGAACCAGAGTGATCGGA